CGAGGAGGGGGAGGATTCGAGGAGGAGAGGAGCAGGAGGAGGAGGAAGAAGGGAGGAACAGGAGGAGATAGGAGGAGAGGAGGTGAGAAGGCGGAGGAGGAGGAGGAGCGAGGAGGGGAGGAGGAGGAGGGAGGCGGGGAGGGGAGGAGGAGGAGGAGGAGGACCAGGATCAAGGAGGAGGGAGAGGATCGAGGAGAAGGAGGAGGAGGATCCAAGATCGAGGAGGAGAAGGAGGAGGAGGAGGAGGAGGAGGAGGAGGAGGAGGAGGGTGAGGAAGGGGAAAGGAAGGGCATTGAGGAGGAGGATTGAAGAGCAGGAGGAGGAGGAGGAGGAGGAGGATCGAGGAGGAGGATCGAGGAGGGGGAGGATCGAGAAGGAGGATGAGGAACAGGCCAGACCCCACTGACGACGAGGACGAGTTCGCAGCGCCGCTGCCGCCCTGGCGGGAGCTTGCTCAGGCGCCTCGGGAAAAAAGCCCAAGGGATGCTTACGCGTAGCCTTGACAAAAATAACCACAAGGCCTTGCTGAGCAACTTGGGCCCCGAGGACTGGGCGCGACTCCGCTTCAGCGGCGGCGCCCACGCGGCCGGCTGACAGTATGTGAACGGCGGGCCCGGGCAGCGCTTGGGGGACGCCGACTACTTGGACACAGCGCGGGCGCTGCTGGGCCAAGACCTCGCCCCATTGAACGGCCGCCGCCAGAACCGGCTGCGCACGGGCGCGCGCGTCGGGCAGCCCTGCGGCCAGCCCCTCTGCAGCAAGACGCACCACGCCTTCGGCTGCGCCTGCGAGGAGGAACGAAAGCGCGCAGCAGGGCCGTCGAGGATGTCTGGGGGCGCATTCACGCAGAGTGCGGCTTCCAGACAGCGCGCCAGGTTCATGTCCCAGCTTGGGATCGCTGGATCTGGACGTGCACGGCGCCCGGCTGCGCGGCGCGCGGCCGCGCCGACGCCCCGCCAGCAGGGCCCTGCCAGGCCTGCGGGGCCGCGCGGCAGGCGCGCCGCGAAGCGGCGCTGCTCGACCTGGAGGCGCAACGGGCGGGCTGCCCGCGGCTGCTAGCGGACGTCACAGTCCGCTACAGCGTGCCCGGCGAAGCCGACGCCCTGACCGCGGCGGCGGGCACGGGCGGCGCCGTGGCGTGGGAGGGGGAGCGCGACAAGAGACGTCGCTACCCCGCCGGCCGAGCCCCCTGGCGCGCGCTGCCGCTCAGCCTCGAGACGGCTGGGCGCCACCGGCCAGCGGCGCTATAACATTTGCGCTGGCTCGCACGCGGCCGCGCCCAGCTGCTCGGCGACGGGCCGGAGGCCGACGCCGCGGCCAGCGCCCACGCAGCACTATGGGACTCTGGGGCGCTGAGCTCAGCACGGCGCTGCACGCGGCTACAGCGCGCCAGGTTCGGACGAGCCTCGGGCGCGAGGCTGCGCGGGCCTCCGCGGCCGCGTTCACCGACGAGCTGGCGCGCTAACGCCCTGGCTGGGCTGGGGCGTTGGGCGGTGGTGTACTTCGGCTATCGGGCCGTCGCGCTCACGTACGTATTCCTGGAGTAGCTCCGGCTGTTCAGCGGGTGCGGGGTGCGTTGGCGTTCGCGCTGGGACCGCTTTCTGGTCTTTTGCAGGAGGAACAGGAACATGATGATGATGATGATGATGATGATGATGATGATGATGATGATGATGATGATGATGACGATGAGGAAGAGGAGGAGGATAATGAGGAGGAGGAGGAAGGTGGAGGAGGAGGGGGAGAAGGAGGAGGAGAAAAATGAGGAGGAGGAGGAGGATCGAGGAGGAGGAGGAGGAAACGGAAAGAAAGGGCATCGAGGAGGAGGATCGAAGAGGATGATGATGCTGCCTGCTTATGATGATGTGCTGATGATGAGGATGGGAAGGAGGGAGGCGGAAGAGGAGGGGAAGAGGGGAGGAGGAGGAGAGGAAGGTGGTGGAGGCGGAGGAGGAAGATCGAGAGGGTGGGATCGAGGAGGAGGGGAGTAGCAGAGAAGGAGGAGGGAAAGGGAGTAACAGGAGGAGGAGGAGGTAGAGGAGGAGGGAACGGGGAGGAGGAGGTGAGGAGGAGTGAGGAGGAGGAGGAGAGGAGGAGGAATGGAGGAACAGGAGAAAGGAGGAAAGAGGAGGAGGAGGAGGAGGAGGGGGAAAGGGAGGTGGAGGAGGAGGAGGAAGAGGACTAACAGGAACATGAACCATAACCGGAACAGGAACAGGAGGAGGAGGAACAGGAGGAGTAGGGGGTGGAGGAGGAGGAGAGGGAAGGAAAGAACATCGAGGAAGAGGAGGATCGAAGAGAACAAGGAGGATCGGAGGAC